GAAGGGAAAGGAGGGTGGGAAGAAGGGAGGGGAGGGTAGGAGGAAGGGAAGCGAGGGTGGGAGGAAGGGAAGGGAAGGGAAGGGAAAGGAAGAGAGGGAAGGGAAGGGAGGGGAGGGAAGGGAGGGGAGGGTGGGTGGAAGGGAAGGGAAGGGAAGATGGGAGGAAGGGAAGGGAAGGGAAGATGGGGGGAAGGGAAGGGAAGATGGGAGGAAGGGAAGGGAAGGGAGGGTGGGAGGGAAGGAAGGGAAGGGAGAGGAGGGTGGGAGGGAGAAAGGAAATGGAAAGAAAGGAGAAAGAAAAGGGAAAAAAGGAAGGAAAGGGAAAAAAAGAAAGAAGAAAGAAAAGGAAGAAAAGAAAGAAAAAGAAGAGAAAAGGAAAGCGGATCCAAGAGGCAGACAAAAAACTGTAGAGGAAACTATAAAACCATGTTCAGTGGGAAAAAAAATAATAAAACCGCTCATAAGATTAGGAGTGATATTCATGTCCTTCTTTACTTCTTTTGTTTGTAAGAACTAGGGTCTGGCTCTGTCACCCAGGCTGCAGTACAGTGGTACAATCATAGGTCACCGCAGTCTCCACCTCCTGGGCTCAAGCAATTCTCCTGCTTCAGCCTCCAAAGTAGCTGGGATTACAGGCCCACACCACTGCACCTGGCTAATTTACTTTTACTTTCCATGAGATGGGGGTCTTGCTATATTGTCCAGGCTGTCTTGAACTCCTGGCCTCAAGCAATCCATCTGCCTCAGTCCCCAAAGGGCTGGGAATGCAAGCATGAGCCACCAGACCCAGTCTCTCCTTCTTATGTTTTCCAAAGTTTCTACAATGAACAGGGACCACATTTATAATTAGCAAACAGGGAGTCAGTGTTACTTTTCGCAGAAGGCAGAGGCTGGAAATCCACTTAATGGTGTCCTTGGAAGGAACGGATGACTGGCCTGAGCAGAGTTTCTGTCATCTAGACAAGTAACTTACAAGGGTGACTTCAAGAGGACAGAAGGTTCTGGATCAGTGAGGTGAGGCTAGCTGAGGGGAAAATAAGCTTTTAAAAAATGTCAACTTCTCTAGAAGGATTCATTGACCACTGAGAAGGTGGGAAAGAAGCCAGCAAAATGAAAAGAGTCGAAGGGCGTAGGTTCCAGAACATTCTCATCAACAAGGCTGATTCACTGCTGTCTGTCGAGGATGATGTCTGGACTCCCGGCAACACCACTTGAGGAAATGCCCCAGACAGGGGCTCCTCCTGGCTGGGACCCTCGCGCCAGGACCCCAGCGGGCCGTGTGCCAACCCACCTCCTGTGTGCATCTGTCCCCTGGCTGGTGGCCAGGAAGCCCTGTCCTTCCTCCTGGAGGCTGTCGTCTGCTTGGCCAGAAACACAGGCTCTAGGGGTCTCGGGGGAATCTGGCCTCGCGGGCCGGTCTGCCACGGCTCCATGCATTTCCTTCATTTACAGCACACGGAGGTCCAATTCACACATGGGACTGGAAGCCGTGAGTCAGGGCCATGCCCTCTTCTTCCCTCTGAACCGTCCACACCACAACCACAGGGGCTGCAGGAGCGCCTGCCAGGTGAGCGGGTCTCATGGCCAAATAGGCCCGGGCTCTTCCAGATGCTCTCAGCTAAGGCAAATACCACCCTCTCCGTCTCAGTCTCTCCTGCTGTAGAATGGGAGGGGTAACCAACCACAGCCACAGCTGTGCACGCAACCAGCCTCGCACAAACGTTACTTAACACCAGCCAGGCTTCCTGACACGGGGCTGTTTGAATTTGGGTGAACTTTCTCCGTGTGTGAAGCTGGCCTCCTCGTCTGTCTGTGTGAAAACCTCCACTGCCTTATCACCTTCGTATGGTGTGAGGTGACACCTGGGAGGACAGGCCACGTCTCTTGTTTCTTGATGGGTCTCCGGTGCCTGGCCCAGCCACCCCAGAACATGCTTGAGACACAGATGAGTGGGGGAGTGAATGATGCTCCCAGGGTGCGTACTGCCTGTGCCTTGGATGGGACAGTTGCCATGTGCCGCCGCCTGCTGACCTGATTTCCAGCTACCTCCGGGCACAGTGCTGGGCCCAGGCACTGTCCTAAATCGAACCAAACACGCGCTGTCCTGATTATCCTGCGATGTGCTTGCTCTCTCGGATCCTTGGCACCTGCCAGAAACGCTTCCTTGGAAGATGGCACCACCACCTGGGCTCCTTCCCTTTCCTCAGCTGAGCCTCAGGGCCTGTGCTGAGCTGTGTGAGGCCTGGAAAGCTGACGCTGCGTTAAGAGACCGTGTCCATCGTGGAGCACAGAGCTCAGGCCAGGAAGGCAGGAGGAGCTTCCGGAGGGGGTGAGCATCCACTGGCTGTCACCTGGACAATCCCCACCACCCCCAGCAGCAAAAGATGGGCAGGCCCCAAACCAAAAACTCCCCTCTTATCCTGTCAAAGAATTTCTGACGGTTTCATGTGAAACTCGGAGAAAAACGATCCATTGCCAATGAACTGGGTATGGTCTGAGCCCCTGAGGAAAGCATCCAGTAGTAGGGAAAAGGTGCCCTGACTGACACGGCTGAGAAGCTCAGGCTGTATCTCAAAAATGGTCTCACCTAAAAGAGGAGAGGCTGTTTGTGCAACACTGTTCATCGTGGCACGTCTGTGACAGCAAAAGGCTGGAAACAAGCCCAAGCCAGCACCGGGACCCGAGTGCACGCCAGGCCAGCCTCGCATGGGGCCCTGCCCCAGGTGAAGGGAAGCAGGGACGTCTCTAGCAAGCACAGGAGTGGCTCGGGCAGAAGGCCAGGAGAGCGAGGTGGGGGCGACTGGCTGTAGCAGGAGGCCCTTCACCAAATACGGGGACGGGGGATACGCGGGTGTGTATCTGAACTTCTACTCATGTGCCTTTGCTTACATTTTTGAAAGCTGAAGGATGTACTACAAAACATTCTTAAACTGTTCCCTTTGGGGGCAGGGGAGAAAAAGGTTCCTTCAGACAGAGTTCTCTGGGTCTATCTTATTTATAGATTTGACTGGGAACCACACAAATAGAAAGTTGTATCAGCTGTCAATGGCAGTCTCTACACACGTAATGCTGAATGAGACCAGTGAACCTGCTGTAAAGCAATGGTGTCCAGTGGTGTTAGAGCCATCAGTTGACTGCTGACCAGTGGGGTGTGCCCTGAGGACAAAACAAAGACGATGACCAGTGTAAGGAAGGACGCGGAAACTGGAACCCCCGTCCACGGCTGCCTGGATGCCAAAGGTGGCCACATTGGAAAGTAGTCTGGCAGCTCCTCAAAACGCCACACACAGAGTGACCACATGATCTGCAATTCTGCTCACAGGGGTCTACCCAGACGAGCTGAAGACATGTGTCCACACAAAAACTGGGACGAAACTTTTCATCACAGCCAAAATGTAGAAACAACACATTCACCATCCACCAGTGAATGAAGAAGCGAAAGACGGGCTCCCCATGCGGTGAGCGTGATTCAGCCATAAAAAGGAATGGCGTGCCGCTGTGTGCCTCTACACGTGGCCCTTACAGACGTTATGCTCGGTGGAGGAAGCCGGACCCCAGAGGTCACACACCACAGATGCTCCTCGACTCAACCCATTGGATGCTAAGTCAGAAATGCATCTAACACTCCTAGCCTCCAAAACGCGGAGGACGGTTTCCTGCTGGGTTCGCGTCACTTTCACACCCTCGTTAAGCCAAGCCATCGTAAGTCGGGAACCACCTGTACCTGAATGTGTTCACAGGAAATGTCCAGAAGAGGCAAATCCATTGATGGAAAGTGACTGAGGCTGCCAGGGCCTGGTGGGGAGTGGGGAGGGATGCTGGGAAGCAGGCCCAGCCCCCCCAGCCCTCAGCACAGGAAAGAGCTGCAGGGAGGCCCGGAGCCCTGAGTGGGCATCAGAAAGGAAGAATGGTCTGACCATCTCGGGGCCCTGGCCAGTCTTGCTCCTCCAGCAAGTGTACGACCTGGGAGGACCCAGCACAGGAAGAAGGAGACGTCTGCCCTGCACCGAGAAGCCCCTTCCCCCCGTGTGAGGACCCTCTCCTGGGCCTGCCCGCCATCCTCCAACACAGCCCCTCACTCCTGCCACCTGTGCCCCCAACCTCCCCATCTGCTGCCCAGCTCCCACGGCTCCTGGGGGGCTTTTCTAGCCTCCAGTTGAACCTCCTCCCCTCCCTATCCTCCCTCTCTCTTCCCTGTTAGAGAGGCCTATAGACACGGCCACAGCCAAGGTGGGAGCCCTGCAGGGCGGGGTCCTGGCAAGGGGGCCAATGGCCCTGACAATGCAGCCATGAGTGACCCTGGGCTGGCCCCAGGCCCTGCCTTTCCCTCCCTGTCTCCAGTGTGGGGGATGGGAGCCCATGAGAAGAGATAGGAGACCTCCCCACCTCCCCCCAGTGCAGGGAAAGGAGGAGATAGTCCTGGGAGGGGCGGAGGCCCTGGGAACATCCCTGGGAATTTGCCTGTGGGTGGTCTCAGGACCCCTCATGGCCCCAGGTTCCACGCCCAGAGCCACGGGTCTGTGTCTTGTTTCAGCCCGATGCGAGCCAGGCAGCCACGGTGGTCAGCAAAGAGAAGTGAGCAGTGCGCTTGGATGCGGCCCGGGGCAAGGGGCCAGGCACTGGCACAGCCCACTCCCTCTGCCCCTCGTCGGCACATGTGGCTCACACCAGGTGCGGGATGAGCCGGGGCTGTGGCAGGTGAGCTGAGGGCTTGGCACTGAGCCCATGACACCTGAAAGGTACCTGGAACATCAGAAACAGGGAAGCGGGCCCGCTGGCGCACATTTCCCGGTGCACGATGCCCCACAGGGCGGGTGCCTCCACAGCCAGCTCCTGACCCTGCCCTCCTCACACATAGACCCCACACCTGGCCAGGGCCCAGCACCTGTCGGTGGCCAAGATGGCCCAGGTGGAAACACTGCAATGCTTGGAGAACGCGCCAGCACCTGCCCCTAGTGCAGAGAGGACAAACCCAGTCCCTGGGGCAGACTGGCTCTTACCTGGAGCCCGACAGGGGCTGAGGTGCCTCATGAGCCGAGGGGCTCCCGGCATCCAGCTCTCTGACCTCTGGTTCCTGCTGACCTGCAACCCCGGCCTCTCCTTGCAGCCCACTCGCTGTGTCCACCTGGGAACCTGAGGTGTGAGGCAGGCACTTGTTGGAAGTGGGGGCTTTGGGCTCCCGCCCGTCGGAGGCATCTTCTGAGGGCGGGGGCGCCTTGTCCTGTCTCTCAGCGGCTCTGTCGCTGGCCTTGGCTAAGTTGGCAGCGTACGAGGCGCCAATGACCCCTCCCGGGCTGCACTTCTCCTGCAGACGCTCCACCACATCCTCCCTGCTGTCCCCACAGCTCCCACAGCACACGCAGGAATGCAAGAGGCAGTTGGTGGCCGCAGTGCTAAGCTTGTGGGGGCCGCTATCCATCCCCTCGGCCACAGGCTCCGAGGCGGCCTCCTGGGTGGCGACAGCAGAGTCCGGGGAAGTGGGAGATTTGGGGTTGAAGATGACCGTGGCTGAGAGCTTCATGCCCCCTGTTCGGTGGGCGATCATCTCGGCCGTCTCTGCGTCGTCCGCACCCACCTCCCAGCCGTCCAGGTGCAGCCGTGAGTCCAGGCAGCTGCAGGAGCTGGTGCCTGCGAGGCTGGCCCCGCCTGTGCCCTCGGCCTCGGGGTTGTTGTTATTGCTCAAGTCCTCCTCCTTTTCCGAGGCGGGCACGCTGACCCCCGCTGCTCCTCCTGGCCCACCCTGCCCTTTCTCCTGGGGGTCGGCCCGAGTACTGCCTGCCCACCCAAATGGGCCACCTGGGGACTCCGGCCTGGCCAGGGCTTCTGCTGTCCCCTCCACGTCATCCATGAAGAACACGCGCTCCTCCTCGTCACTGCCCGACCGCAGGCGCGCTCTGCGTGGAGAGGCCTCCCTGCCTGGGCTGCCCTCCGCTCCTGGCCTGTGCGCGGGGGACTGGCAGGCACTGGGCGGTGACAGCAGAGAGGACATCTCGTCCCCCGCTCTGTGGACCATGCGGCTGAGCTGCTCCAGCTCCTGGTCATCATACTGCATGGAGCAGGCCAGCTCTGTGTCCGGGTCTTTGGCCTTGACTGAGAGTGGCCCCTCAGGAGGGAGAGGGGCAGAGAGGGCAGGAGTCAGCGCAGCGGGTCCCTGCACGTCTGCGCGGATGGGGAACTCCACGTCTTGGGAAATGCAGAGGTTCCGTTCCAGCGTGTGCAGCTCCTCCTCTGTCAGTGTCTGCAGCAAATCCCTACAAATCAAGACAAAACACAAGGGTGAGGGTCCCCAAAGCCACACCAGCCTCCTTGGCCAGGAGTGGATGCAGCACCCTGGAGTCTGCACCAGCAGAACAGCAGCCAGGCACTAAACGCTTGCACCTGAATTCACATGGCACCAGCAGGTCTCCTCCACCACGGATCAAGGCTCAGGTCTCGCCGGCCAGGACAACGGTGTTCAAGGTGGCCGGCTGGGATTCTAGTACAGTTTCTTTTTTAAAACAAGATTCTGGAACCTTTTGCTGAAAATAAAAAAGCCCTGATTGTTAGGCATGTGTTAGCTGCATGAATAAAAACTCTAAGGAGTGAAAAAAATATATGCTGGTTTACACACAGACCTTCACCCTTTCATTCCGCAAATACCATTGAGCACTGGCTATGCGGCAGGAACTGGGCACTAGCACACGAGGATGAAGGCAGGTGTGCTCCTGCCCTTGTGGACTCAGGCTGCAGTTGGGGGAGGCAGATGATAAACAAGTATTTATACAAACAATGACTGAACTACAATAATGACAGCTGCAACCAAAGACAACGCAAGCCATGAAGGAGGGTGCAGCAGGGCACCTGGTTGAGGCCGGGAAGGCTTCCTGGAGGAAGGGGCATTGAGGCCAAGACCCAAAGGTGCAGTAAATTCAGTGATGCTGAGCAGGAAGCTCCTGCAGCAGGTTCCTATAGGCCGACTGTGGGCTGCTCTCTGCTGGGAGAAGCTTCAGCTGTGTCTGTGGTCTGAGTCCCACATAGGACGTTCCTGCACAGCCATGGCTGTTGTGAGGAAGTGCGCTTTGCAGAGCTGGGCAGAGCTTTCGTAAGCTGAACCCACCCACGTGAATAGCAGCAAGATTTAGAAGTGAAACCCCAACCAGGCCCCCAGCACCCTGGCTGTCGCATGACACCATCCTGACTCCATAGGCCGAGGCACGCACCTGCTCTGCTGCTCTGAAGAAATGGGAAGATTCTGTCTACACTCTCTTGTGGCAGGATTTGTTTGCTGATGTTCTATTTGTGTAGAATCTCCAGATAAAATATAGGACACTCAGTTGAACTTCAATTTCAGATAAACAAATAAGTACTTTTAAAGTGTCATTAGAAATAGTTGTAAGTGTAAGTATATCCCAAATGCTGCTCATTTGGGACATACACTAAAGAGAGTTTGTTGTTTATCTGAAATTCCAACTGAACTGGGCGATCTGCTATTGTATTGCTAGATCTGGCAATGCTATTCTGTAAGATTCACGCATCATAGAGCATGTTGCCATAGGTCATTAATTCTTGTGGCTGCACTGTCTTCCATGGGGTAAATGTACATAGTTCCTTTATCTGTTACACCTGACAGGTTTTGTGACCCAGGATTTTCGTGCATCTCTCTTGAAGAACACATGAGTGCATTTCTGCTGACTGCACATATAGGGTGGAACTGCTGAGCCAGACAGCGGGGAGGAGCCGGGATCCAGGCACGCCTGCCCACAGCTTGGCCAATAGCATGGCTTGCCCCAGGCCCTCGAGAGCACCTACTGTCTTTAACTGAATCCTTCCTGGTGAGTGAGTAATAGTATCTTATCTTATTATGGCTTTCCATTGTTTTAGCCTAATGACCAATGAAGTTGGTCACAGTTGACATACTTATCAGCCCTTAGATTTTCTCTATGCAAAGTTCCTGTTCAAGCCTTTTGCCCATTATTAATCAGGTTGTCTGCCTTTTTCTTATTGATTGACAGGAGTTCTTTATTAGATATATTCTCCAACTCTTTGGCTTGCCTTTTCATTCTCTTAATGGTGCTTTTGATGAAGGTTTTAATTTTAATAAAGTCCAATTATAACATTTTTTCTTTATGATTAGTGTTTTGTGTCCTGTTTAAGAAATCTCTTCCCACTCCACAGTCACAAAGATGTTCTCCTTGATATTTTCCTCTAAAAGCTTTTTATTATTTTTTAAGACATAGTCTTGCTCTGTGGCCCAGATCTGGGGTGATCATGGCCCACTGGAGACTCAAACTCCTTGGCTCAAATGATCCTCCTGCCTTAGCCTCCTGAGTAGCTGGGACTACAGGTGCAGACCACCATACCTGGCTAATTATTTTTTATTTAAAAATTTTTTTTAGAGACAGGGTCTCACTATGTTCCCCAGGCTGGTCTTGAACTCCTGGCCTCAAGTGATCCTCCTGCCTTGGCCTCCCAAAGTGCTGGGATTATGGCATGAGCCCCTGTGCCTGGATTTTATTGTTTTACTTTTTATATCTACACTTTGTCTGGAGTTGAGTTTTTTGTACAATAATGGTAAGAACCCAGACGCTAATAGATAACCATGAGACATTTTTCCTCATGTGGTCTTCTATTGACTCAGCCCATTTATTGGAAAGAAAAACAACAATTCCTGCTGTTCTGTAATGTCACGTTGTCATAAATCAGAGACCTATATATGCATCGCTCTGTTCTAGATTTTCTATTCTTTTGAATGCGTGTCAAGTCCATCCTTGTACTATATCTGTCAGCATTACTATAGCTTTACAATAGAAGATGTCTCCAATTTTCTTTTTTTTCTTTTTTCCTTTTTTTTTTTTTTTTAGAAATGGGATCTTGTTCTGTCACCCAGGCTGGAGTTCAGTGATGTAAACACAGTTCACTGTAGCCTTGACCTCCTGGGCTCAAGAGCTCCTCCCACCTGAGCCTCCCAAAGTGTGTTGGGATTATAGGCATGAGCCACTGTGCCTGGCCTTTGTTCTTTTTTTATGAAGTGCACACAGCAGAAAAGCATATGTTCACCTGGAGACACCCACAGGGGTAGTCACAGCAGCGCTATTTGTGGAAACTACCCACAGCCCATCGAGAGAAGAACAGATAACGTTCTGCTGCTGCTTGGCTATTCCAGGCCCCGTGCATCTCCACATACATTTTAGAATTAGTTTGTCAATTTCTACAAGGAAGGAAGGAAGAAAGGAACGAACGAAGGAAGAAAGAAAGGAACGAAGGAAGGGAGGGAGGGAGGGAGAAGAAAGAAAGAAAGGAAGGAAGGAAGGAAGGAAGGAGAAAGAAAGGAAAGAAATGAAGGAAGAGAGAGAAGAAACAAAAGAAAGGAAAGGAGGGAAGGAAGGAAGGAAAAAGAAAAGGAAAGAAAGAGGGAGGGAGGAAGGAAGGAAGGAAGGAAGCTAGCTAGCTTCTGGGATTTTGATTGAGACTGCATTGAACTCATAGATTAATTTGAGAATAACTGATATCTTCATAACATCAGGTGTTCCTCTCTCTGAATGGAACTGCTGTCCAGGGCTTTAAAAATTTATGGTAATAACATTTTATAACTTTCAATGGAGGTCTTGGACATCGTTAATTTGATTTATGCTTACGTATTTGATATTTACTGGTACTACCATAGATGGTATTTGCTATGGTTTGGAGGCAGTTTGTCTCCATCAAAACTCAGGTTGAAATTTAGTTCCCAATGTGGTGGTGTTTAGAGGTGGTGTCTTTAAGAGATGATTAGGTCATTAAGGAGATTAATGCCTTTCTCATGAGACCAAATTAGTTACCACAAGAGTGGGTTGTCATGAAGTGAGGGTGCCTCTCGTGTTTGGCCTCTTCGCACATGCCCCCTTCCCCTCCTGCTTCTCTGCCACGTTACGACAGAGCACGAGGTCTGCACCAGAAGTTAACCAGATGCAACCACTTGATCTTGTACCTCCCAACCTCCAGAATCACGAGCTAAATGAACCTCCTTCTTTTATAAATTACTGAGTTTTAGGTATTCTGTGATAGCAACACAAAATTGACTAAGACAGTATTTTGATTTCATTTTGCATTTATTTATTGCTGGCATACAGAAAGACCATTTATTTTTGTATATTGATCTTTTACCTAGTGACCTTGCTAAATCTACTTATTATTTCTAATAGTTGGAAGATGCTTCTGAGTTTCCTAAGTACTTGATCACGTTATCTACATAAAATGGCAGTTTTAGTCCTTCATTTCCAATGTGTGTAACTTTCTAATTTTCCTTTTATTTTTGCCTTATTGCACTTTCTAGGCCACAATACAATGTTAAATGGAGATAGTGAATAGTAGACAACTTCTTCCTAATCTCAGGGATATGTGCTATAGTACACACACAATAGACAACACACACACAGAGATACACATGGATGAAATCTGTATCTTTATCTATCTGTGACCAGATTAAAGAAGTTCCCTCCTATTCCTAGTTTGCTAAGAGATGCTTTTCTTGTTCTGCTTTGTTTATTGCTAAGAGATGTTTTCATCATAAAATTGGTGTGAAATTTTTTCAAATGCTTTTCCTGCATCTTTCAAAATTATATGATTTTTCTTCCAATTTTTAAAATTAATGTGGCAAAACATCAATTTGATTTTCAAATGTTAAGCCAATCTTGCATATCTGGAATACATTTCTCTCTTTTTTTTAAAATTTTGAGACAATGTCTTGCTCTGTCACCCAGGCTGGAGTGCAGTGGTCTGATCACAGCTCACTGCAGCCTCTGCCCCCCAGGCTCAAGCAATCATCCCATCTCAGCCTCCCAAGTAGCTGTCAGTACAGATGTGTACCACCATGCTCGACTAATTTGTAACTTTTTTGTAGAGATGAGGTCTCACTATATTGCTGAGGTTGGTCCCAAACTCCTGGGCTCAAGCAATCCTCCTGCCTCGGCTTCCCAAAGTCCTGGGATTACAAGTGTGAGCAATGTGTGTACATTTCTCTTGGTCATGATATATCTTATTTATATATGGTTGGGTTTCATTTGTCTGTATCTTTTTAAGGGTATTTGCATCTATGTTCATGAGAGATTGGTGTAGTTGTTGTTTCTTGTAATATCTTGGTCAGGTTTAAATGTTTAGATTATACTCTTACTGATCAAAAAAAAAAAAAAAAAAAAAAGAGTTAGGGCTGGTTATGGTGGCTCATGCCTGTAATCCCAGCATTTTGAGAGGCCGAGGTAGTCGGATTGCTTGAGCCCAGGAGTTTGAGACCAGC